TGCTGAGGCGCACAGCGGACCAAGACACTGCTCAGATATGCAGTGCCCAGGTTAGACCCAAGTGCGTCTTTGATCACTAGGAAGCCTTTAATCCATGGATTAAACGTCCCAAGAGCACAAGCTGGCAAACACACTGGTTGCATTCAGACTCTCCAGAGGCCAACGGGCTCCATGGAAACGTTGTGCCAGGGGCTGGCAAAACTCTGCCTGCACCTCCAGGGAGCTCCCCCCTGCTCCTGCCTAGTCACCTTGCTGCCAGAGTAAGAATAGAGAAAGGTGGGCGCCCAGGCCCACACATGGGTGCCCAGGCACGCACCGGGGGGGCAGCCACGACATTAAGCAGGCTGCCTCCAAGCAGGTCATTCTCACAACAACCACGGCATTGCCTTGCTCGCAGGCTCCCGCAGTGTGCAGACCCAGCCCGTCATGCCACTTGCCTCCGCCACCAGGCAGAGTCACCTGAGCATCAGGTCCCTCTCTTCTGCCTGGAGCATGTGCGGCACGGGGGACAGTCACTGCCGCGGAGCAGCGCCGCGTCCTGGGGGAGCGGATCAGCTCTGCAGCGAGCCTGGCGGCACCAGGCATCAGCTGGGAGCAGGGAGCAATAACTGGAAACCTCATCCAGGCCACGGGCATGGGAGCAACTGTTCAAACAGCTAAATTTGTTTGGCCGTTAGCTTTGAGCAGTGGCTACGTAATGAAGATTGAATATTGAATTCACCAAAAGGTGATGTAACTGCAAATTGCTGCAATTCATTCCAGTGCTTTGGCTCATTGGCAATCTGCCTAATCCTTGCAAACGGCTCAGACTAATAAGGAGCTGTTGCTGGAAATCAAATGCAGCATTTTCAGTCCCTAAAAATAGCATTCTGTACTCTCTGAAGTAGGCGCTCACCTCTCCAAGAGCCACTGTCGCAGGGAAATATCAGAAATTATTCACACTTAGAGCAGTACGTTCTGTCTCTGAGCTGAAAGGGTGATATTAGAAACCCATGCGTTTCCCCTGGTGAGCAGCTCTGTGTGTCTCGTTCTGAAACGCTGTAAGACAAACTCACTTCCAGGAGGGAAGTGGATTAATCTAACGCAGACGCCAGGCAGCAGCAGCTCGGCTGCCTGCTCAGCTCCCGGCAGCGCTGGCACAGGGCTCGGGCTGCGAGGCTGGGCAGCCGGGACGTGCGGCGCAGAGCCTCTGCACCTCTGCGGGAGCCAGGCCTTTCGCACACCCTGCTCACCTCGGCACCGAGCATCCCACAGCCAGCAGCAGGGCTTCAGAGGAAACTGCCCATCCCAAGGTCAACAAGAGGGAAATTACAGGTGTAATTCAGCAGGTTTTGGACAGATTCGTCCTCAACATTCACAGAGTTTTAATGTGCAGTCACTTCACCTTCAGCCAGCGCAAGGAAGACCCAAGTCCCATGCGCTCTGCTTATGACCTGGGACTCATACAGCTAAGCCTCTCAGAAACTCTGCAGGAAGGATTTGGTAAGGTTGGGCTAATATTTCAGCCAAAAGCTATTTTCAGGCTGTTCCACAGCTGATATGTTGCCGAAGGAAGCCATAGGAAAACTGCAGGGCCCTTGCCAACTGGCATGTGCAGACAGAGCGTGCACGCTGAATAAGGCTGCTCAGCACAGAGGAAATCAAACAAGCGAAGCAGGAGTTAATGCAGCGGGTTTGTCTATCCCTACCTTTGCAAACGGCTTGATTCCAAAGGAGTTGCTCTCAGCCATCTGGTGCAAATGCAGCATTGTCCTGAAAGTAGTTATGAAAAATGAAAATGAAGCTACACCTCACTGCAACATGATAGGGCTTATTGCTTTTGAAAGGGAAGAGGCGCTGGTGCCTGAAAACGATACCAAAATCCACAGCACCGCGTGGAGTTCAGCACCAGCAAAGGAGCTTCGATAAAGCAGTTTCTTTGCCAGGAGAGGCACCCACACCACCACCATTCGGAAGGATTTGAATTTTTTTCTTTGCATAAGGCTCCCAAAAGGACTCCCAAAACCTCTCCAAAGCACCACGCTTCAAAACACAGCCTCTCAGGCCTCAGAGCTTGCTGAGCCAAAGGGAATGTCAGGTAATGCTCAGAAAAGCACCTCTCTGGCAGTAGCTCCCAGACCATCAGCTAAAGGGATTTCCCTCCCCTCCTGCACCCCAGCACTCCCCAAATTCCATCTGCCCTGTCCTCGGGGACACCTCTTACGTCCTCTCTGGGCCCTAAAGCCTGCAGAACCCCTTCGCCTTTATAGTGAGGGGCCGATTGGGGGAAGGAGGCAGTCAGTAAATGCCCCAAAGCACAAGCTGACTTATCCCTCAGGCCTTACCCCAGGAGACAACACAGCGCTCTCTGTGCCTTAGCAAGCCACTTCACCACCCTGTGCATTTACTACAGGAGCGCAAGGATCGGTCCAACACCAAACTCTTTATCACAACTGCAGCTTTCAGGGGAAGCATTCATTTCCTTCCTGCAAAAAGCTCCCACAGTTCTGCGCAGCAGCAAGAGACAGAGCCTGGCACCAGAAACAGTCCAGGACCTTTCGCCCAGGGCAGTCCAGGGACACGTGGCTTGGGGGCAAAGCCAGAATAAACAGAGACTCAGTCTGGCCTGCTGGTTTCAGGGCAGTCGTCACTGCTGTACTGCAAAGAGCGGGCCGGGAGCTCAGAGGCTGGAGGGGAGCTGGTCCCTGCCAGCTGAGCCCGCAGCTGACAGGCTATTTCTGTAGCGGGCATTGCGACGGCAGAGCTGCAGCACAAATTAGCCCAGGATCCCAGGGGAAACCACATAACACGAGACGCCACCAGTGCCGGCGTCCAAAGGAGTTCTGTGAATGTATATGCGCTTACCGTGTTCCTATTTTTAAACTACGTTTATGTCTGATTTTTGCTGATTAGCCCAATTTTGGTTTTAGTGAAGAGGAAAAAAAAGCATCAGAAAATACTCATTTTTTGGAAAAAATCTCTAAAATATGAACGTCTAAAATACCTGCCGTGTCACTAAAGTGATTACCTTGGCAATTAGCGATCCTTTAGGGATCTAAAACAAAAACCCTCTGAAATCTGCCCCTTCACCACCGATTAAGAGAGGCAGACGCAGCCTGCCGGCCATGCAGGGCCCTGTTCCTGTTCTCTGGGCACCCCAAGCCCAAATTCCCCGGCTGAGCCAGAATCCGACTCCAAAACTGGTGCTGCTCCCGGAGACACCCCACTTCCCCAGCCGGGAAGGACCCTCATCCAGCCATCCCCAAACATCGCCACCTCCTCTGCTCATCCCTGCCACCGGTCCCACCTCACCCAGCACAGCCCTGGCCCACCAAGGCCACAGCAGCTGTCTTAAATATCCTTGTGAACAATAGGCTTCTCGGCCTCAGCTGATTTTTTTCTTCTACCTTCCTTATCAGCACAGAAGCGATGTATGTGTGAAGTCGTACCCCAGTGATCTGTGCCCTGTGCACCAATCCATTTTGCTCTGTACTCCTTTCTTATCACAGAAGATTCAGACCCCACGTTTCTGAATGTAAATAATGGGGGAACGCCCTTGGCGGTGGGGGACCCTGTAGCCATGCGATGAAGTGAGGAGCCCAGGGCTGTAAGCAGCTCTTTGGCTGTTCCTGGATGGCTGCCTGCACCCAGCATCTCCCACAGCCCCGCTGGAGGGTGCCAGGTGCACCTGTCCCCCGCGGCCATACGCTTACCTCTGAGCCACGTCCAGACCTGCCAGCATCAGCGGAAAGACGTTGAAGTTGCTCTCACCCTGGGGCTGCTGGGCAACACGAACCCTCTCCAGCAGCATGGTCTGGTGGAAGGAGCAGAGACAGGCGTGAGCAGAGGCCCCGTGCTGTGGGTGTGAGCGCCATCCCCACGGCGTGGGGAGGGTGGTGGGCTGGCTGTGGCAGCCAAGCAGAGTCACACACCCAGGGACAAGAGGGGACAGCAGCACCCACAAACAAGGGGACAACAGCGGGAGCTGTTGAGGAGGGACCTGGATTTTAACTTGCACGGCCAAGACCAAACTTTGGAGGAGTCATGTCTGGAGACTGCTCCTCTTGCATTAGGGCAGTCAGATCTGCACCCGGCAGATCACACAAGCAAGAGCAGAATCTGCCCCAGGCATGCATCACGGGGTAAAATTTCAGCCACACACATGCAGTATCCCATAGTTCCTCCACCCCGAAGGAGCGCTGGGCAATATGAGGTCGACAATAAAGAGGCTACGTGGTCTGTGTCCCTGCAATGGATAAACCATTGCCAGGGCTTGAGGCAAGCCTTAGATCAGACTCCTCCTGCCTCAGGCTAGCTCGCTGCTGGCCCCGACCCAAGGAATGAGCTGCAAGCTCCCTGGCTGTCCTGTCCTCCCAGGAGCATCCCAGGAAGCTGCCAATGGCGAGGAGAGGGACCTGGCAAAGACTCCCAGGGCACATTCCCACTCCTGAGCAAGGCCTTCAAGCTTCTCCTTGCCAAGGAATGGGGTGAATATGGGGCAGAAATGGGAAATCCTTGAGGTTCTCCACTAGCAGACACTGGCTCAAGCCTCCCGCTCCTCTAACTCAGGCCCAGGTAGCATGGGCAGGTCTTCGATTAAAATGCCTTTGTATAATTGTGTGGTGATGGTGACAAAAGCCCCCAGAGGCTTCTGTTTAATTCCAAGGCTGACATGCAAGGTGCTGCTAATGAAATGCTGAATTATGCATTTCCTCATAAATATTTCATTTTAGTGCTGTTCTGCACTCCCTTCCAGTGGAGGGGTGGCCACTGACTGGCTGCTGGGGGACCCAGCTACACCACTAACAGAGCTTCTGCTCAGCTGCAATTTGGTGGACTTTGGTCCAGCAGGAAGGATGGGAGACAGATGAGTAAAATCTGTTTTCTCCTAGGAAAAAAGGGTTCCTGTGCCCACCCACTGAAGGGTGCAGAAAATGATTGGCGATCTGGACTCTCCACTGGGAAATCTGTAAGCATTGCTGTACACCCTGGTTCTCGGTTATAACCAATCCTTCCCTGCATGCATCCAGGCAGGCATGTAGCCTGTTTCATTGCAAAGCAGAGGATGCTGCTCCTCTTGCCCTCCACAGCACCCGGTGCAGCTCTTCAGCCTGGGCTTGCCGTGGGGCGTGGGTGCAGGGCAGGGGATCTTTGTGCCCCCGTCAGCAAAGACCCACAGCAGGTTTCGGCTGCAGCCCTCCCGTCTCGCCAGTCACGGCACCTCGGGGGTACCTGGAGGTGAGCAGCAGTTATTCGGCCAGTGGCGCTGAAATCCAATGACAGGACCATGGAGAAACGCGTGGAGCTGCTGCTGTGGCTGGTGGTCACCGACCCAAAGGCTCCGAGGACCGTAAACATGGCCTGGATCTTCTCCACTGCAAAACCAGCACAAACAGACCGCGTGCCGCCAGGCTTGCAGCGGATGCAGC